CAAACCTTATTGGCGCGGCTTTTTAAGAGTCAAGTGGTAACTCTTCTATTAGCTATTTAAATGATTGCTGGTACAGTGTACCCGTCTCACACATGCGTAGATATGATAGTGGGGTTACTATATTGGAAGTCAGTCCGACTTTGGAAAACCTAGGTAGTTACACGTATCATTGAAATGATACATAAGGTACTTCGAAGACGACCCGACTTTTGCGTGTATCATTTATATGATACACGCGGAGGGCAGACCTTAATCGCCTTTGCGAGAAAGAGTACTCGCCAAAGGGTCAAGGATTTTTTGGAAGAAGTTGTGAAACCGTAACGGCTTTGCAAAGGTCACCTTTCTAGTTGATGATTAATTTATACTTATGTTTAAATCATGTGATTTCTGTATCCCACGTACTCATGCATGGTGTCCTATCAGCCTATATGGCCTTGGCGACAATATTTATACACTTCTACGCACTCCGAAGAAGCCTGGCTTTTACCTGTATGATTGCAATTATATACACGGGAGACGATTTTGCAACGATTGAGATTTTTAAAGTCGGACTGTCTTCATGCTGTCTAAGAACAATTTTGGTAAAAATTAGGTAATTTTCGGGGCGCAATATGATTCAGGTGAAAGTCGTGTTGTCGTCGACGTGTTTGCAACGATACAGGCAAAATGTATCGGCTATCGAATGATTGCTAGCGTACTCGTTTTTACACAAGTGCATACATGTCAGTGGCTCGTTCAGTTGAAGCAAAAGAGCCATATACTAGTATATAATTCTTGAGCATTCTTTCCCGAAAGGGTGAGTATTGCGCAGTACACTGCCCTTGGCTTGGCAGCGGCCCTTCGCCGGGTAATGACGTCGCTGGACGTGACCCGGAAACAGATGCAACCAGATACCGCGAAACCCCCATAGGGTGCGTATTTTGACGGAAATCCAATGGCGGAAACCTCGCCGAAAAATGGAAATGAGTCAACTTTGACGCTACAAAGCTCGTTTTTGTGTACAAGTGTGATCTTCAAGTGAACTTCCCGAGGTTCCCTGACTTGTAAGGATTATAACGACATATATTTTAGCCTGGCTTTCCCGATTCTGACTGCGCTATGATAAATTCTGTGAACCATGCTAAGGACTCATTTCGGCGGTTAACACGTACCCGGGCGTCCGCCATGTTGGCCAAGACGAAACTTCCGACTTTTACCGAAGATTATCGAGTGCACTTCCGGGATTTTCTTCCTAAAATAATATAACTTCAGACGTTGAAGTAATCATTTTATGGACGATTCGTACTCATTTTATTTTATTATTTTGTATCTTCTACCGTTCCTTTGAATTATAGAAATATTTTGCCTCACGATGATTTGACCTTTGACATAATTTACGCGCGAAGTTTCGACAGGAGTTTTTGTGTCGCTCAGGAGAAGAGTCAACAGTAGAGGTTGAAAATGGCACCTCTAAAAGTCGGCCTGTGTCCTGCACTGACCGTGGAAGTACTGAATTCTCTCCTGAATGCGGGTGTCAGAACAGGTGAATTCAACAAACTGTCCAACCCGTCCTAAACGCTCACGACAGGGATGGACAGTGTGTGTGGGGAGGGGGGTCGAATCTTGTATCCTCCAGTGAACGATATATTTTTGGCGACGTCTCAGGGAGGAGCCTAATGGTACAGTATTATGTGCAGTTTACAAGAATTCTAGGAATGGTACAGACATTTTGTCCACAGGCATGGAATGTCCACAGGAATGTCTCCGAGTTCTGTTTGCAATTGCTGGACACACATCTATGGCCACATTCCCTGGAAACCCTTGGGAAGACCTCTCTGCCCCGGATGGCCCTACTTTCTCTGACCCCTGGGCTCGTTCACTATACACTCAGGGAGGAGTGCACTGTATCTGTCTAGGCAGGTACCAAGGCTTCCTCAAAATAATGCCTTGCCATGCAAACAATAACCCTAACAGTAACAACAACCACCGTCGCCATGGAAATGTATGTTTTCATCGCCTGAGTGTGTTGTTGTACATGTAAGTTTGTAACGTTACATGTATTTAACAATAACGTTATATTTTTTCCTCCAGTGTCAGAATTTGTCTGTATGGACTTAGAGTTGATGATGACAAAGTGCGGCTGTGTGTCATACAAGGTACTTTCATATTTGTACACAAACAGTGATCAGATAATATGATGATTTTATTGACACTATCACTATACAACATATATGTGTAACGTTATCACTATTATTGACAAATCAGCTAATTTTGCTTCCTGAATAATCATTGTTGCAGTTCATTATTATAACAATGAATTATGACAATCGGCTACTTGGAGTAATTTAACGTTAGATATATGTATCTTTAAGTCTACTTTTGACTTTGTTCTATTGGGTTTCTCGCAGGTTTAATTTTGAAATACCCTTAAAGTTTGGGACACTTGACTCCACATGCAACTCCAACTTGGAAGTTTTAAAGTTTTTACAATACAAAGTTTGATAGAGAAAATAGAGTGGACTGTTTAGCTATGATTAGTTTTGATATCACCCATAACGAAAGACATGTAACTGTGTTTGACCATAGTTTGAGTAACATTAGTTCAGTGTTGTTATCACATGTCTGTCCCCAGGACCTAGTGGCAATCCGTAAGGTTCTCCTGGTGCAGTACTCAGCTTTTCCAGTAGGGGGCAGCAGCTGGTATGAAGAGATTCTGTCAACTACAGCAATCCTTAGTACAGGGAACTCCAGGTACAGACACAGGAAAAAAACACAATTTGTAATCCATAAATATCAATATCAGGTAGAGATCAAACTGTTACTTGGAGTTCAAAATAAAGTTTCACCAGAATTTACAATTTAATTTTTTTCTCAAACTCCATTAAAAATAGATCTAGCATTATTTAATATTTTTGCTTGTAAAATCAACCAAAAATCTTCAAGTGATTGTAAATTGAATTTGCTTCCATGTTTCAACATATTTGTGTCATTATCTCACATGTCTAACATTTATGTAACATAGTATGCGATAAAACAGTCCACACAAGGCACACTCAGTTTGTGGTACCACCACAAAATAACAGAATGTATTTTACATAATGTTCATGGCTGTGTTTACAGTTTTTGAAAACACTCGTACAATGTACTAGTATTATATTTTGGCACTTCCACTTCCTGAATTACTGTGACCATTAATTATGTTAGGGTTGATTTAAAACTTAATTACTTTCTAGAGAAAAAAACAGAAAATTGATTTTGTATATGATACCAATGTTACATAATGTTAATGCTTTAATCATTTCAGTGAGGTTTTTTGAGATACAGTGCCATTGATCATTTGTGCAACAATTTCCTCCTTATGTTGACTTTGTACAGACTGGATGATATGCTGGATGGTGGAATCTTCACAGGGGCGTTGACTGAACTTATTGGAGCTCCAGGAAGTGGCAAGACGCAGGTACATCTGAGTGGATTCTTATACTGTAATGCTTTCTTTTACTCCAAATCAATGGAAGCTAGTACATTCAGGGCTCGAAATTCATTTTTGGGAATGTACCCAATGAAGAAAATTTGGTGCTCCAAAAATTTTTTGGGTGTATCATATAAATTATAATACAGCTCCTCTTCTAAGCTTGAATCTGAAATGGGAGCTAAATTAAAAATCTTAGACAAGTACTACAACAAAGATTTTATTACTTTTCTGACCCTTAGATGCCACAAATATCCTGTATACTATTATATATCATATATATATATATACATTTAATAAGTACAAAGATACCTACAAAAATATTTGGGTGCACCTACAGAAAAAAATTGGGTGCACATGCACCCAGTATTTCGAGCCCTGACATTGTACTACCGGTATGTTAAATCTGCTTATTAAAGCTGTTGACAAATAACTAAGTAGCACATTTTAAAATTGTGATACAATTTAAATTTTGGTGCTACAACAAATAATGTCTGCCAATGTCCTGATGGCCTCCAATGTTCTTACCAGTGTCGGAAATTTGCTGCTCATGACAGACAAAAATTTTCCCTAATCTGTCATCTTTTAAGGATTAAGCTCGACATGACAAGATATGAATAGAGATGTCATTAATTTAAACTAAGCATAGTCTAGCAGCAAAATTTATCCTTCAAAATGCAGGAAATAGCATTTCAGGGGGGTGAGATTGCATAATTTTCCTGGAGAAGAAATTATGCACCTGGACCCCCCCTAGTGGTGCTCAATATGGTATTATATAAAACAAAATTCAGAAGGCAGGAAAAAATTTCAAGTTGGTTAAAACAATGGCCACAATGAAGTTAGATTAGAATGTTTCTTAAGTATGTACTTATGTGCTGTCTACTTTTGATTAGATCTGCATGAGTCTAGCGGTCCATGCTGCGTCCAGACTGGAGCAGAATGTCCTGTATGTGGACACTACAGGGGACTGCAGTGGACAAAGGTTACAGGACATACTGTACTACTCTACAGGCGACAGGGAGGTACTGTACAATGAGCACTTCATGTGTGTTGACTATGCAAATTAGGTCATCATTTGAATCATTGATGTCTGATTATGTTCTCCAATAAGGTACAACATCTCTAACATTGTACTGTATTGCATACAATGTATATTAGTACCAAAATTCAAGCAAGTCCATCATTGGCATCAATACTTAGTAACATTTTCAGTTAAACGTGCAAACACACAAACGCAACGTAAAACTGTACCCCTATGCAAGGTGAGTCTCCACTCCAGCATGGAGCTAACAACACAATTTATTTACGGAAGGGCCTTTATCAGACATTTTAGATACAAGTTACACTTAAAATGTTTCTTGGAGAGACATTCTTTTTGAACCGGCAGTTTTCTAACAAAAAGTACAATTTTATTTATGGTTTTATCAAATTATTTTGCTGTTTCAAATTTAGTTACAAAAGTAACGTTACATGTACTACAAGTATTAAGTTTTATCAAAGTCCATCTTTTTTGCCTGTAGAGTTCAACATTGTCCAGAATAGGGTTCAGGAGAATCTTTGACCCCTGGCAACTTCTGGATTTACTGCAGAAAACAAAGGCTGCTATTAGCAAACAGGTACATGTTACATCTCTTCTTGACGTTATCTGTAATCATGCAGGGTTTTCTGCATATTAAGCGTACTAGCACTGGTAAAGTTAGTATACATGATATAATTTAAATGTTAAATTCCCTTTCTCTATTGTCTCGGCTACGTACATGTAACATTGAAAGTGAGTATCAGACAAATTTCACCTACTGTTTCCTCATTCAGAAATTTCACTTAGTTTTTAATACTGAAAATTCTCTAATAATAATCATAATCTTTTCCTGTAGAGTGACCTGTTCTACTCCCAGTTGAAGCTGCTGATAGTGGACTCTGTTGCAGCTGTTATTTCTCCTACACTTGGAGGTCAGCAAACAGAAGGTGAGGTCATGTTAAGGTGGTTACAGTACACATACATGATTGTCATGTACATTGTACTTAATATATGCTGCATTGATGCCTGCAACAATTGAATTCTTCATGCCCACAACTTGATATTTTGATGTACGAAAATGGATCACCAGACTGAAAAAATTACCCAAAAGGCTGAAAATACTGTTGTATTGCCACCTACCACAACCAAACAACCCAATCAAATTTCAGGTCATTTGGGTTCAAAACCAGGACATAGATGTTCCAAGAATGATTGTTTTTAATAGCAAATGAATAAAATGATTTCAAAGGCCTGCAAGTAAAATAAGAATGTCCTGGGTACTTGATGATTTCATACCGAATTTCAAGAAATTGAATCCATATATATTTAACAAAATGGCAGGAGAGATATGACAAAAAAATATTTCTCTAATATTATAATAATAACTTTATTGCGCAACAATTGTACAGTGTACAAAGTATGGCATCTACTAAAGTAAGTACATGTCAACTACATTTTCATAAGGCTAATCTAATACAAAAGTGGGTGGCTAGTATGAGATAGGTATCAACTTATACAATCGTTTCTAATATTACATGTATAATGGTGTGAAGTGAAATATATAATACACTAAGTCTTGTGTTTCAGGTCATGCTATTCTGTTGAACATTTCCAGGCAGCTAAAAGTCTTGTCTAGTGAGCATGCTATTGCTGTTCTGGTGAGTTAATGTGCTAAAAAAATTCTAAATTTTCTTGATAATATTACATGGGCCTTAAATATATATATATATATGTATATGTTGAATATAGGAAAATATGTCATAAATGAAGGGTTTAAACTGTGACCAGCCTCGGCCAATATGTTAGCAATACCTTTACAGCTGGCCTGGCTCACATGTACATGTATGGCTTGCCTTCTTAAATAAATTATTAAGCTTTTGGCTTCATTTGCCTAGTGGGGTGTGGGGGGGTCCACCTCAAAGAAATTTGTATTTGAAACCCTGATCAATCAGACTGAGTGTGCTTTGAGAGTGTATTCTGTATTCAAAACTGTTGATCAGAAACATTTTGAACAGATTATTGTAATACAGAATGATTGGTCAGTGTTTTATCTATCTTTCCATCATCAACAGAATTTTGCTCAATCTGTCATCTTTGTTGGACACAAAATGGCGTGTAAACAGTAAAGGAATGGAAGGAGATGTCTTTTAACTAAGTTTAGTCAAATAGCAAAATATGCCCCTCAAAATGTAAAAAAATAGCGTTTCAGGGGGTCAAGATTTTAAAAATTGTCCTGGGGCCACTGCCCCTGGACTCACCTAGGATTGTCACACCTCTGGAGTAACACCTCACTTTATAATTTCAGGCTGGCTACAAAACTGGAATTGATGCAGCAAAAAGTGTCATGTTAGGCCACACCAATTTAATTTGTTGGTTCTCGGATTTGCCTCTTAATTTTTTTCTGATTTGCAAAAAAAAAAAAAGATCCTGGCTCTGAGTCTGAATCAACTAAAAAATGCTCAATCATATTTCCCCCTAACAGTTGAGGAAAGTCCCTCTCTTCCTAGTTGTTACAATTTTTCCATGTATGAATGCATTGGTTTGATTTCAAAGTTCCAAATTCATTGTTTAGATATTAACCCAGCCTTTTGTTTTGACTTTATGGCTCATTTCGTAGCATTTGGGGCTATAATTGGATGCCTAGAACTTGTTTTATTTTTTTTTTGCCCTGTCACTTTACATTTTTTCTGAAAAAATCCAAGAACCAGCAAATTGAATTGGTGTAGCCTTATGTTACCAGCACTAATAAACTTGGGACTGTTAAATGTTTTGTTTCCAGATGACCAACAATGTTGTTCAAGGTGAGTTGAGTGAGCCGTGGCCTGGTCTGGGTCGGTCCTGGCAGCACATCCCCGACACCAGACTGTTAGTACAGGGGACAGACAGTCCTGAACCTCAGGACAGACACATCAGTGTGATGAAAAGTCCACGGCTGGTGAGATTACCTTCTGTATATCTAATATATTAGTAATAATGACACCCCTCTCAAGGGATGATACGAGAGATATTCTTTATTAATTTCTATTCTTAAGAAAACAAAAATCCACGATGTCTACTACAATGTAACTTATAGTCTATCAATATGGACAGGTACTACATTTACATCTATTTACTATGTAACTATGTACCATGGGCTATGATACCAGTATTAGTAAGGCCATTAATTTGATTATATGGATGACATCTGCGTGCATGAATTTTTGGCAGTTTCCAAAAAAAAAGTTTTAGCCATACTGTAAATCGTACAAAACAGCTGCAAAATGAGCAAATATATATTGAAACTTAAAAAAATGTCGTAGAATGCCAAAATCAAACAAAAAAGACAAAAATGTAAAGAAATGAATTTGAAGAGTAGATTATTCGCCAAACCATACTCTGTGTCATTTGTTCAACCTTCAAAACCATGTAGATTTCATAATGAAAGTAACTTTTTTTTTGGCAAAATGAGCAAATATATACTGCAACTTAAAAAAATTTGCACGCTCGCATCAGTTTTAGGGTTCCCAGAGGATGTCATCCATATGATCAACTCAACATGGCCTAACCTTTGATACAGGTGTTCTCCCCCATGTGATAACACAGGGGTCTCCCAAATTTGCATGTGCTGATTTCAAAAACTTTTTGTTAGGGGACACCAAATTTTATTTGGTGAGTATGAAATAAATAGAATACAACGCGCATAATCCGCATCACCCTCAGTCCCAGCCATCCCTAGCTGTACGAGTTACTGTAACAGTTGTTAACATTGATACATTTAGTAGCATACAGAAACCTTCCTTATGGTCAAAACTCCAGTTTTTCCAATTCAAACACAGGGCCCGGCCGGGCAGCTTTTAGGAACAAAAACTAACTGTTACACAGTAACAATATACAAGACAACAAAGCACAGAAAAGTTTTTAATAATAATCATTAATATTCTTGATATAAATTGGTAATTTTTTGTGCATACATACAGCCTGGCCGGGCCCCGGTTTGGAAATGTGACCTAAGCATATTAAGTGAGTGTTGATGGTATTGTCCTTCTCCCACAGCCAAGGGGCCTGTCTACAACCCTGAGACTGTCAGCAGCAGGGATTCTGGATCTTCACACACACACAAGCCATGAGACACAGGGACAGGCGGGACAGTCAACATGGAAGACATGATCAGTGTTGTACTTCTTAGGTCATGGTCTGACATTATGATACCACACACTTACCAACTCAAAACAAGAATTCTAAGATTTCATACCTCCGCGTTATCATAAGTTTGTGTCAGTCATTGTACCTGCTACAATCGTTGTGCAATAAAGTTTGATTGAATAGAATATTCCAATCACTACATTGTATTATGAACTAGTCAAGAGCATTTTGTAATTGATTATGCAAATAAGGTTCTTGTTTATATAGATATCTTTTTATACCCTGAAATTAAATCTATGTCATACATATCAAATTCCTATTGTGGAAAAACACTGGCATTACTAGCTTGATTTCCTCACAGAATATTCAGTCACATAACTTGTATTATCTCATAGTATGGATTTCTGACCTATATGTGCAAAGTCATAAAAATTCATTCACCCTTCCTTGAGTTATATCATGTCATTAGTACCTGGTTATTCATGCTCTGCATGCATAGTGCTACAATCTGCACTGTCCCCAATTGCAAGAATTGTGAACTACGTGCATTTAATGATTATGTTTGCAAACTACATTGTCATGCACTACAACCTGAATTGTGCAACCAGTGCATAAGAGCAATTTGTTGGCCCTGTCAAGAGAAAACAATAGACACTATAGATTACTCACTCAGAATTACACAAGAATCCAAACAAAACATATTTTGTTTGAGGACACCAACTTTAGTCGCAGTTTCTTCCAGTGGTGCATTTTGCTACTATGCTAGCCAGGAATTTATTTTACCCACTCCACAAATTGCAGAAGACATAAGATACTTTGCAGCTAGGGGGCCCAAAATGTCATCATTTTGCGGTCATATCAATGGTAAGACCTACCTACAGATCAAATATTAAGACAATCAATTTATTTATAAGCCTTCTAGAGTTATCGTATTACACACACGCACACACACAGAGACGTCGACGGACACACATAAGATCGCTACCTAAAACATACTGGTAACCTTCTTGGTGAAGGTGATAAAAATTTAAGATCGCCGAACCAAGATCGGTGGATAGGCAAGGCTATAATACTATCCGGCATAGCGTCATTTCATGACTTCAATTTGACGTCAGTGTTCTTGCCCTTGCCATGGGCAACATAAGTCTTAGCAGACCTTAGCAGCTACCAAACGTTCCATGTAACTGTAAACAATGATCTGGTACATGCGGTATGCCCAGGTGCCATGGTTCTTTGTGTTCGTGGACGATGTTTTCACGATATCGATGCTTCACAAAGCTGTTGGCAATGGTCTGTTGCGAGGAGTACACTATGTCAACTACTCTTGAACAAAAGGGGAAATCCGATCTTTAAGTACAGGTTGCGAAAAGACTCGCGGCGGAATTCTGCGTACCATGAGTGGTTTGCAGCAGAAAGTACTGATCTTCCCATCGATATACTAAGGTTTGAAGTACCGACATGGCCATGTCCTGTAGTGTACGACTGTTGGTCAGCCTCTGTTATCTGTTGATGTGTCTACAGGTCGCTTCAACGCTAGACGGGTAAGATATATGTACATGTTTCACTTCCGTTACAAATGGACCAGAGTTATGCACGCTTGTGAATATCACCAGTATGTAAGAAACAGGAGACAGTAAAAGCCTTTCTGGTCCCGGGCCGGGGGTTCGAACCCACGAGCACCAGAGCTTCATAACCAGACGCTCTAACCTCTCCGCTAAAAGGTCTAGACCCCTTTGCCGGATCAGCTGCATCGTAGCGCGTATATAAACCCCCACTTACAAGTAGCATAATCTTTCTTGTCATAAACACGTAAACGGACGTTGTCTGTTGAAGCATTCGAGTTGTAAAGGTAGTGTCAGTTTTACATGAAGTCATATTGAGCAGTTACTTGACGAAATCAAACCGTTAGCAGCCGATATTCGAGGAATATCACACGGAAATAACAGGAATATAAAACATCATAGATCGCATTTCATCTTAGATGAATCACTTTGAATCCTAACACTGATTACATGTACATTACATGTGGTAACAGTCCTGGTTTCCATTTGGTGACAATCCTTTATGGAACACCCAATTGTAACACTTCATCGTAATCGTAAAGTACAAACACGCATCTATACTAAATTACAATTTTACCAAAGGTACGTATTCGGTACGCTTTGTTGAGGAGAGTATCATTGCATTCTACAATTCAGGAGGTATGTCAGTTATTAACAATCTGTTGTCACTTTTGTAGTGATTCGGATATGAGTTCTCCGACGTACACTGATATCTGAGTAGGACATGAAAGGAGCAAATTTGACTGTTTACGAGACGGAAATAATCGTCTGTGTGTGCGTGCGGGATACGAGTGGGAAACCACCGGAAAGGATGCCATGTGAACCGCTAAGGAGACCTGAACCATTCTATTAAACCCTGGCTCTTGAGTGGAACAGACTTGGCGCTACGGCATGTACTGCGAACAATTACGACTTGCCAAAGGACTATGGGAAAAACGGAACTCAAAAATGTTTAAGTTTCTTTTAAAAAAAAAACACAAAAAATAAACATACAAAGTTTACGTTCACTTTACAAACAAACAAACAAACAAACAAACTTGTGACCAGTAACAAATGAGATCTCTTGCCACTATGCAGCTTTTTATTGATTTTTAGAATCATGAATCCATGCAAATAGTCATGATTATCATGATCATGAGGGGTTTGTTTTCTGTAGAATAATACATACTGAAATGTCACTGTTGGATATTATTGTCCCTTCCACCTTTTATTTATTTTCCGTCATCTTTTCGTCACCTCCAATAAATTAGTTACACCCCTTCCAGATTTCGTCTCACAAGAGATGTGATTATGATGGTAAGATCCATAATTACTTAATGAAAGGCCTTGTTCCTAAATTGAACCTATTTTCCAGAACGTTTATCAAATTGCAATGTTCTTGCAGTCCGCCAGATGGTGTTTGCTACCGGATCGTAGAGCTCAGACAGCGGCAGCTCGCCTGTGAGTTGAGAACGTACTTCTACTTCAACTTCATATTGGCAACCAGGTACTGAAAACATCTTACTGCGTCTTTAGTTGCATGCTACTTCAGTTCAATAGGCCTTAGATAGGTGCTGATTGGAAAGGATAATCATATTTCACAATGGTATGGGTGAAATATTATAATATTATAACTAGAAAGGCCAATATTTGCTTTGGAGCAAATACAGCGATGGGTTCACCACATTTTACGACATGGCAGGGAAAGAATGAGAAACACAAGGGAAAACAATGATTTACATTGATATAACTATAATATGAAGTAACATACGACTAAAACAACAGTTGGATAGCTATTCCCTACTTTATTGGTTAGGATTTTTAATTGCATAATGCAAACTGTTGATGTTCAAAATAAAAATAACGTTCATGCCCCGCATTCCAATGCTGGAGCAGGAAAGCTTGAAATACCTACCAAAACACTTGAATACAGACATACTGTCAGTATGGAAATGCTCTGTGCAGGTGTTAATCAAGTTAAATCCCAACAGCCAATCAGCAAGAAATGCTCTGTGCAGGTGGAAATGCTCTGTGCAGTTGTTAATCAAGTTAAATCCCAACAGCCAATCAGCAAGAAGAATAGAGGAAAGCTGCATGCCTATTGGTTGATGCCCTGCATTCCATTGTGATGACTCATACCCAAACGTGGTAAACATGGCACACTAACACAGTAATACATTTGCTATAACACAGCCAAAAAACTCAAATAAAACCATTCTAAAAGCCTGTATCACAAAAATTTAAAAAACGCCTAGGGGTATTTGCCCACTGTACCTCCATACCAAATTTCAGGACCTTAGGCCCTAAAATGAAGAAGCTGAATCCATTTAAAAAATGGCAGGAGAAGAAGAAGAAGAAGGAGGA